ATTGTGGCCCGTGACGTCACACCTTGCAGCACCGCATTGGACAGTTTGTGCCAGCCTCATCCTCACCGCCCCTGACACCCTCCCCTGGAGGCCGGGGCGCGTTACCTCCCCTCCCCCATCTTTGTCCGAAAGCAACCCTACTATGTACTACTGCGCTCGGAACGACCAATTGGAAGGTCCGACCCTTGTCTAGGAAATTCTTGGAGTCCGCGGGCGGCGGGGGGTCTGGGCCGGGGCCCTGGAGGGGCGTCCAGGGCTGCCGGGACCGAGTCTGCGGTCGCCGAGACGTGGGTGGGACCCAAGGGTCTCGGTGGGGAGGGGGAGGGACTCGAGTTTGAATCTGTCCAGAGGGTAGGAAAGTAAGGGCACTTGAACCCAAACTTCCTCTCCCTTCCACATCTCCCTTTTCTCTCCCGCCCTTGCCCAGGACTGGTTCTCAAACTCTCCACCATCCACCGCCCGCCCTTCTCTCCCCCCCCTCTTCCCGCCCCTCTCCACCCTTCACATTCAACTCATCCGCAGTATGGTTCTCCTCCATCACTCCTGCTCCACCATCTTCAAACCGCCCCCCCCCCTCCTGCCGCGGCCTTCAAACGGCTCTCTAATTCATCAATCTCTTTTCTGTTTCCCTGTTTTCTCTCTTCCCGTCTCTCTCGGGCGTGCGTAACGAATACCCGCGGTACTTGCCCCCCTCTCCCTCTCTCCCGGGCCGCCCCCCGACCTCGTGCATGTGGAGTGGTCCGACTCTTTTGATTTCATACTTTTCCCTTTCCAATCCGCCGCGATGCGTGAACGCAAAGCGGGACGCCAACCGCACATAATTTTATAAACTCGACCTAATTCGCAGCATTTTCATTAGCCGGGGCCCGGAGAGGTGCGGGGCCGGGGGGCGGCGGGGGGCATTGTATGGAGCCACGGCACACGAGCGAGAGCGAGCGAGAGAGCGAGCGACAGATAGAGACAAGGGGGGCGAGTGAGACAGAGGGCGAGGACTCGTTTGGAAAGGATTTCAGTCCCCGCGGCTGCGATGCAACTGCAGCGCCAGCAAATTTACACTTATGACGTCGGTAGGTGGATTAAAATGTTTCTCAGAGCCGCAGAGGAGCAGGGAGGTCATGGAAAAGGATTGGGGGGGGGGGGGGGGGGGGCTACACACACCCACACACGGAGGACCAGGGGCGCATCAGTACGTGTACACTCACAGTTCAGAGGCTCTCCATTCCAGGCCAGAGGCGCGCTCAAAAGGAATCTGGAAAGAACAAGTTGTTTTAAACCCGACCCATATGCAACTGTTGGAAAACCAACAAAGGGAAAAATGTTCGCAGCCGGTTGAGTTTCCCGTTTCGACTTTCCGTCTCTGACCACGGATCGAGAGTATAGGCAACCCGTCGGCGCGCGGGCGCGATGCGGTACAGTCTACTTGCACGGGAGTGGGCGGGCCGAATCTACTGGCCACTCGCTTCCGAGTAATGTAACAGAAGTAAGGTAGCGCAGAGTGTCTGATAGGAAGGAAGTGCACAAATGAATTGAGAGCTATAAGTTCTTGTTAATGGGATGTTTCGAATCATTTGCAGTGCTGTTAGATGAAGCAAACTTACTGAGCGGAGGAGAACTTCTTAGACTGTTTTCGTCTGACTGGTTCTTCTTGTTTCAGAGTCTACCAGTGGCATCGCAACGCCCAGCTTTTCCATGGCTGCTCAGCTCTATGCTGGTATGCGGCTGGTGCTCATCGCAGAGCAGACGAGCACTGTGGACTTACCGTCAGATGGCTATAATTGTGTAAAATCAGTTACAACAGTGGACGGGACCAGCGTCTCCTTTCAACCGAGCCTTGACTATGATTACTGTGGTGGAAAATTATTACTTAATTTATCCTTATCAGCCTGCAAGTCAGCGGCCGATCAATCGACTATGGTTCGCTGCAAGATGACCTTAGGGTACAAGCACACCACCACCGAAAGGCCAGTCCCATGCGTTTCGTGCGAAACGAGCATTCTCTTTCACAAAGGCACCCAACGGTTTGATAAAGTTGTGTCTGTACATGTGGCTAAGGATAACCGTAACCATTTCACGAAGGTGACCCTTCTTTTTATGGTATTTGTCGCTGACCTGCAACATACGATAGCGCCTGGTCTCGGGCTCGGCGTCCACCTCAACAAGGCCCGTCTGCGGGGCAACCACTGCGACGTGAAGCTGGTGGTCGACGGCGTGGAGCTGCCCGCGCACCGCAACGTTCTGGCCGCGCGCAGCCCGGTGCTCGACAAGATGTTGACGGGCGACTTCAGGGAGGCTCGGGAGGGCCGCGTCGAGCTCGTGGACTTCTCCAGGGCGGCGGTCGAAAGGTTCCTGGAGTACCTCTACACTGATCAGATTGAGGACTGGGGCAACATGGAGCTGGAGCTGGTGCAGCTCGCCTCCAAGTACATGGTGCCAGAGCTACGCACCGAGTGCTCTCTGAGGCTGTGGTCCTGCGACGCTCCCCGTGCCGTCGAGCTCCTGCGCACCTGCTTCGACCCTAGCCCGCGCCAGATCATGAGCAGCGCGCTGCTCCGCCGGCTCGCGGTCATCGTGGCGAACAACATGGAGGCCCTGGCTGACACCGAGGAGTGGACCGACTTTGCGGAAACCTACCCAGCTATTGTCGATATGATACTGGGCCTCTCAGAAGTCCAAGAAACCCAAAGGACTTACAGCGTTTGGGAACCGAAGTATGAAGCCTTCAACCTACCTTGAATCAAAATAGCGTTCCTTTTTAGAACACGATTTATTTTCTTTCTGTTATCTGCTTAATTTATTCTCCATGTGTCAGCACTTTTTAAGAGAATTACAAACGTGTATTTATTCGTAATTACCTTAAGGTTTTTGTATTCATTTGACCTTTCACTACAATTTTCAATAGTGTACTATAGATCTTCAAAATAAAGTTACGAGGAAAACATAATAACCAAGGATGACGATGAGATTCGAACTCGCGCGGGTAGAGCTCATAGGGTTAGCAGTCCAACGCCTTAACCACTCGGCCACCTCGTCACATGCTTATCTGAATGGTGTGCTTCGTATCACACCCCGCCGGGCCACTACCAGCTGGCACGGCGCGGGGCTAGCGCGGACCCGAACCAAACCACTCCGCTTCGGTAGAA